AAGCAATAAAAATTCGGAATCAGAATCAAAAACTGAGTGGACTAATGTGTATCTCGAAATTTTCAGTTGATTTTCAGTTTTGGGTGAAAATCTCGGTATTTTTCAACATGAAAATTCGAAAAACATAAAAGTAGTCTGATAGGATAGAAATACACACTCAGTTTTTGATTCTGATTCCGAATTTTTATTGCTTAAAAGTTGAACTCTAATCGAGAAAATTGAGAATTACGGACAGAATTCCGACTTTTTCGCCTCTGATTGAGAAAAAATGAATTTTCTCAGCAATGAAACAAAATTTTAAAAAACTGAATCATACTTTTAAAGCCAAGCCTTCAGCGAGTCCAATGTAATTTATATAATTGTCTCGGACTCAGATATTGAACTTTTTTGAACTTGAAAGATTTTTCGACTTTTTAGGTCGCTCAAGTATTTTCAACTTTTCACCCTAAAAAAAATATTTTCAAAAATTAAAAAATACATTTTCTTACTGAGCTCGAAATGCTCTGTCCAATGACGTACAATAAGTTCAAAAAACCGTTTTACTCAAAGTTTGCATTTCGTGGCCTTACATTTCTGAAAAATTTTCAACATGAATGAACTATAAAAACTTCACTTTCAAATTCGATTTGATTGAGACAATTTTCAACTTTTACTTGATTGATAACTCATTTTCTTACAAAAGTACAGCAATATATTACGTTTAATTCTATCCTTAGCTAGTGGTAAAGCTTCTATTTCAAATATTTTTGTATAGCTGCTAATAAGAAGGCTTTTATCATACTTATCTCAAAAGCAACAAACAATTAATGTGTAAAATAGATGAAATATCTTTTTTTAATCGAGTACTTAGACTTGATGAATTAACCAAATATTACTAAAATGAATTAGATCGATTGAGTTACTCACTCTTTATTAACTGTCGATTAGGAAAAAAAAGAGATAAACGTAAATTATCGTTCTCCACCCTCTTTTACGCTCAACAATCTGTCATCTGCTCATTTGTCTTCCCTTTTTCTATTTATAATGATTAGTACGTCCTATGATCGCTAAGTGAATTGACTGTATTATAAGTGAACCACATACAGTCAGTGTCGATCGGTATGCTTTGTTAACTGTACCAGTAACGTCTCGTTTATGGTTCTTTTGAACTTTTTATGGTTGATGTGGAGAAGTCATTTCTTTTCTGTAAGTGTAATTTTGTAGATGGTGCCGTTATGAAGCTCTATTATCAAAAAATATTCCTGTTCTATTTTCTTTTACATTAAACACCACATTGTAAATTTCGACTTAAGCGAAATCCACGTTTCTGACTTGTCAGTCATGACAATAGATAATTTGCCTTTGTTTAGATAAAAGTCATCCACTTTGATGGATAAAAAATGTCACACGGATCGATGACTTTTATCTAAACAAAGACAAATTATCTACTGTCCCGACTGACAAGCCAGAAACGTGAATTTTGTTTAAGTCCAAATTTAGAATGTGCATGCAGTTCTAAGTTTCAAGGTTATTTAAAATATTTCTCTTCTGTTTTCTTTCGCTGATGAATGTCAAAACAGTGAAAACTGTACTTTTTGTCAATATGGTTTAATTATAAAAAAAAATGGAAATTTTTAAAGGAGTAGTGTAAGAACTTTTGTTCCTAACAAGAGAAAATTTATCATCGACAACACAAGTTTAAGTCTCCCTCAAATTTTGTCTAGTTCTTTTTAACTAGATGGTGAAAAAATGATATTTTAGACTTAAGAAGGACAGAAATAATATTACTGACCTCGTGAGCTGATTATCTACAAGTTCGTGTCTGCGTCATACATTATTATAAACAAAGTCACGTTGAGCACTCATTCAAATTTTTAAGAAGAATATATCTCATGAAACGTCTTGGCATAAGAAGGATCGTAGTTTTGCCGTAAGTTTATTTTACTAACAGATGATAAGTAAATTTAAAACTTGAAAAAGTGAACTGATGTCGTATATCCGTTTGATCAATCATAATTAATAAAATTCGACGAGAATATCTATGATGTTGTATTTATGGTGAAAAATTAGCGTCTATGGAGATCATACATTTAAAAATTTTCTATACCAAGATCGTCCAGTTTCTCAATTCGTTTCATAACACACACGATGTGTTGTTCATTTATTCAGTGTATAACATTAAACCTACTTTTATTTATTATAAGTCATTATAAGAGATAAATGACTCATATACTCATTTATTTTTTGTTTAAATTTCGCTTGAATGTGTATTGTACGTAGATGTAATTCATTAAATATCTATATGTAATTTCAAGGAAATTGTACGTCAACTACGATAGTAAAACAGCTGTGCGTTGTTGACAGTATAAAATGTCTTCCTTTTCTAGTATTGTAATAAATAGACATTCTGTAGTATATATAAAAATCTATAGATTGTTAATAGAGTTAGCGAAGCAATTTCAAATGAAGCAACAAGTAAACAAGATTTATTTAAGATGACAATAGCACATTATAAAAACAAATTGAGCAGGTATAGATAGTTAAGCGAATATTGCTGAAATAGCGTAAATACTTACAAAACTAAAGTTTTTTGTAGTATGTTTATTGGTATTCTGCTGTTACACATAAATAATTAATTTATGAGCACAAAAGTAAATCAAAGTATTATCAAAATCCTTGTTCACATAGTATTTCTATTCATAATATTTTTCTTTAACGACTCAATTCTCAAATATTCTTCTATAGGTAGACGCAACTTGACAAAACAGTAAGAAAAATGAAGCATTAAAATTATTTCATTTTAGCTAAAAAGAATATTTGAGTGAAGACTTTATTCAGTCATTTTTTAATAGAAACTATGTGCTAAAATTGAGTTTATTTTTTCTAGGTATTTAGTTATCTGATGGACGATAAGAGAAAGGATAAATAAGTGATAGAAGGTTTAAAACATAATCCATTTCATTTTCTTGCTATTTATCTGACAGAAATAATTTCTGAAAGATTGCATTTTATTGACGATTTTTTATCCTTGAATCAGGAAATAAATGATGTAAACAATATTAAAAGATATTCATTAAATATTACCATTACTCTTTTGTCCGACGACTAGACACGTAGAATCAAAATACATGTTTAGATTATTATCAAGCAAGATCGATACTTTATGCATATCATCAACAGAAAACTAAAGTTCATTCAGAGTCGAGAAAAGTGCTTTTACATATTCATCACACTTGATATCCCAAAAGGTTTTCTATTTTAGACGAGATATATTGCCTTTAAGAAAAATTTTGAAACAAATATTATTCTTCCATGAAAATTTTTTTTCGTCATTTTATTTGAAAATTTTTCCTAAACATTTTGCAACATATCTCATCAGAAATAGAAAATCTAGCATATCAAGTGTGCTGAATACGAACAAGTAGTTTTCACGACTCTGTATAAACTTTATTTTTTTCTTCACATGGATATGCAAGTTTATGCTGACAGACTATGATGGCAACAACATGATAAATCAGCATCGGCATAAAATAAATAAATATCAAAAATCAGAAATAATATGATATATTATTTATCATTAACCTCTCATCTTCCAGTATAAATCTTTCACAGTGCGTGTGTTTTTCATCTACAGCGTAAACTTGTATTCAAAATTTTCGGAGATTATCTGTCCGACGAGAGAAATCTTATCATCGTCACAATGATCTAGAGCTGACCTTCACCCAATAATTGACTAGATATTCTTTTTTTTCTCATTAAAAGGAAAAAATGATATTGTTGGTAATTGCGATGAATGAAGCGTTTGAAATTGTAAAATCTCTCTTTATTCATTTTTGTTTATTCAAAATAAACGTTCAAAATATACATTGTATTATCTTACAAAATCAAAACAAGAAATGTCTCTTGTATTTTATCTTGTACAAGAAAGCACAAATACCTTGTTTGAAAAATAGAGAAAAAGTTTTCTTTACCAGTATTTACAGAAAGTATAAAAAAGAAGAATGAAAGAACAATACGCGTTGGAAAATAATGAAAACACCGTTCAGTATACCTAGAATTATCTTGTTTAGATTGTTATTGTTATCGTACAACTTATTGAGCATGAGACAGATCTTGATAAATATCAATGTTCATCGGTATTATCGTCATCCCAGTTTAACGAACTATGTTGGGCACTCAAACCATTTTTCTCACCCAAAAGCCAATATGTTGTCACTTTACCTTTACCCTACGCAATATGAAAATGGGTATAATCATTTGACAAAAGAGCTATAACATGTTAACATTTTTTTACCTTCATTTCTACATCACCACGAAGTTTGAGTTCAAATGTACCAAATTTTTCCAATATTGCATTAGTGGTTGGACTCACATGAATGCGAAGAGCTTTACCATTGCTTTCCATACGGGATGCTGTATTCACCTTAAATTACATGAAAAACAAAATCATGTGAGATGAATATTAGTATGAATTGAATTTATTCAGAAGGTAGTGTGTACTTAAAAAGCTAGCTATAACACGTATGATTACAGCGCAGTTTTAAGAGTGTATTATTACCGTATCGCCAAATAAACAAAAACGGGGCATCTTCAGACCGACGACACCAGCGACGCATGGACCTTTAGATAAAATACAAAAATTTCAATAGTTAATTAGATCATAAAAATCACAAATACCTGAATGAATGCCAATCCTTAGTAATAACTGGCGATCTGGACGGTGTCTAATACGAAAATTGAGCACGGCATTCAACAGTGCTAGAGATAAACGAGCTATCTCTCTTGCATGTAGATCACCATTTCTTGTTGGTAAACCAGAGACAACCATCTGAAAGTTAAAAGTTATACGGATAAATGGACGTAATTAGTACAGAACTTTCAGCGTACATATGCATCACCGATTGTTTCAACCTAGAAACATGAAAACTAAGGTAAAATTATAGTTGAAAAGAACTTGATAGCAATCTCACTTTGTAAACGTCGAAATTTTCACTGACACCATCGAAAACAGAATATAAATCATTGAGCAAATCAACTACCTAAGCAGAATTCATACACATACATAAATTATTATTGTATATAATAATGCTACTAACTTGTAATGGTGTGCTTTCGGAGGACAATGATGTAAATCCACATATATCACTGAAGTAAATTGTTACATTTTCAAATGATTCAGCAGCCACTGTATGACCAACCATGAGCTGCGCAGCCACTGATCTAAAGAAAAACATGCCATCAAATCAAGCATAGTGAATATAGATAAGTTTTTTTTCAAATCTCCGGTATCATATTATTTGACAAGTCACTGAGAGAGTCGACGTCGCTGCGACCTTTGTTTATATATACATATATATAAGTTTCTATAATTTAAGTTGGAAATTTAAAAATTACGCCGCACCTAGTAGGTTAAAATAGTCAGAAATGAAAAGAAATTAGGAAACTAAGTTTTCAAATCATGTTTTATTTATTCAACAACCATCAGTTGAAATCAGGAATATTAACGAAAAAGTTTTTGGTTACTTAGTTTCAGTAATCAATTCTGGAACAACTATAAACCATCAAAAGATCCAAATGTAAAGTGGTGACATACTGGCTCAACCTGTACCCACATTCTATGTTTACAGTCCAGTTTGTGTTCGAAGCTCTTGAACTAATCATCGACAATAACTTTTTCATCGTCAATGGAGTATTTTATCACTAACATGAAGGACTCACCATGGGAGGTTCAGTATTAAAAACATAGTAGAAAATTTGACTGTGGCATATCTTAAAAAATGAACGTGGTTAGAATCTGCTTATCTCTTCCCTCCAAATGTTTTTGCCCATATCATGAATAATTATTTCAAGCATATTGACGATGCATGAATTATTTTGGGTCATACAAAACCACATTATTTATCGATTCTCTTAATAATATGCATCAATCCATCAAATTTATTCACAATATACAATGATTGATATACCAATCAAAACAAATTAATCATTTGGACGTAGTTATATCGCATCGTACCTGATACACAACAGCTCGACATCTCGAATAGAAAGAAAATCTTTTTCACAATTACATACAACCCGAATATCCGAATCTAGCACTCCTTCACATCTTCGAGTTGACTTACATCGGTAGCATATAACACACATCTCAATATATAGTGCTCAAAGTTAATGAACATATATACAGGTGTTCATGGAGCGCATATTGCATGTACTCAGTCTACAAAATGCCCTTAAACTGTGACAAAAATGCAAGAAAAGAGAAAGAACGATATTTTAGGCGTCTACTGAAACTGAATAACTAAAAACTCTTTCGTTAATATTCTCATTCCAACTGAGTTTTGAATAAATAAAACATGCTTTGAAAACTTAGTTTTCTAATTCCTTTTCATTTCCCAATAAGTCGATATATATATATATATACATACGGGTTCTTATGTCCACAGCCCATGGCGAAGAACCTTGAAATAGGATCTTGTAGGATCCTATTACAAGATTTCACAAGATCTTAGAATAAGAACATGTATCAAGTTGTAAGAATCTACAAGACCACTGAAGACTTCATAAGATCTTATTTTGTGCTCAGGTGGAGTGTGGAGTTGAAGAAAAGAACATTTTAAAATTTATTAGAACATATATCGTGTATATATATATATATGTATATATATATAGTATATACCGTAGCAAAACTTTTGTGGTTCGATGAATCATCACGTCTTGCAAGATCTTGCAAGAACATAAGACAAGATTTCATATGCTCTAGTACGATCTTGTGACAAGATGTCACAAGAATTTAAAAGATCTTACTGGATGATCTCGTTATAAGGTTCTATATGGAAACATCAGATCTTGTAAGACGTGTTTCACTTGGGAGAGCATCGAAAACGGTACAATTAATTGTATATTGAATATCCATTAATAACCCATTCGAAGTCTGTTAAAAGAACATTTGTAGACCATTGCGACAAGTTTTTGATCGGTTTTAGGCATTTAAACTAAGAACGTTTTAATGCCTAAAATGGAAGTTCTTCTACGATCAAAAAATTGTAAGTATTTTCAAACGAATTAATGTTATATTTATATTCGTCATATAGCGAAATAAAAGGGTGAATGATTCGTTGTTAAATGGTTAAAAGTTGACATTTAACTGCTAACATTAAATGCTAGTTTTTCCTTTGATATTGTATCTGTGCCAAAGTGACATGCTAACAGACAGTTAATGACCGATGTGAATTTCAGTTTTAAGTACATGACGTTAAATGCCTGTTTTAGGTCATGCTTCATTGTGAAATGACGAACTAAAAACGATGACTGATAATGGGCTGTATTTTAGCAGTTTTAGCTGATTAAAATTCACTTGTTTTATCATACAGTTAAAAGACTATGTATGAGTTATTAAATGTCAGTATTTGTTGACCTGAGTCTGCAGATTGACTGACTCAGTATTCGCATATCACTGATAGAAAAATAAAGTTGATGCAGAGTCGCAGAAAAGTGTTTTTCCGTATTCAGCGCACTCGATAACTCAAAAGATTTTCTATTTTGAGCAAGACACATTGACAAAAGTTTAAAAAAAATTTTCAAACTAATATTATTTTCCCACAGAAATTCTTTTTCATTATTTTGTGCGGAAATTTTCTTAATTTTTTAGCAATACGTCTTGCTAAAAATAAAAAAACTTCGGAGTTATCGCGTGCGCTGAATACGAAAAAGCACTTTTCGGCGACTCTAAATGATCTTTATTTGTTCACGTTGATATAGCTTTTAATTCTTTAAAGATGTTCGTAGTGACTTCTCATGCTCTCCCGCTTTCAGCGTTATAATGTCTGACTGAGTGACTGCTTGAACGACTGACTGATTATTCCATTTTTATTTTATCAGAGACGTTCTCAGTCAGTCAGTCAAGCATTTAATTTTTATATTCAGTTAGATGGATCATCTGCTTTTTACTAACTCGCCGACTTGCGGCGATCTGGACTTTCGTACTCCTCGCCTTTGAGTGTATATACTGCTTAAAATTTCGAATAATAGTTACTTTGGAAGTAGTCTATATAGTAGTTCTTCAGCTTTCTTCTTTTCAACTAAATAATCAGAAGTACGTTCTTCAACCAAACCCTAAAATGTTGAGAAATAGTATATCATAACTGTTTTCTAGTGCATCAAAACCACACTTACCTCCAAGTTGTTCGCATATTGTTCCATACGTTTCAATAAATTGTCCAGAATATTTCCGCTTTCGCCATCCCTAAAAGCAATATCCTATATGCTTCAAGTGAAATCCAAGAAAAGTCGTAATTTACTTATTAATACGTCTCATAACTTGTCTTATATCCGTGAAATCAGGGCGATCAGCTGGAGCTTCACTCCAACATCGTTTCATTAGAAGTGCTATCTCAGGATTACATGCACCGGGTTCAATTGATGGTCGCACATTGCCTCCACTTTTTACACCTTCGATTATTTCTAAGTACATGTCATAATATTATCGTAAAAATATATGAAGTAGTGTTGCTTGTTTTACCTGCTGGATCCATCTCTCGATCTCTGATGTAAAATGGCCCATTTCTAAGCTCGATTTCTTGTAATATAACGCCGAAGCTATAAACATCACCTTTCTGTGTTCCGGCTGCTCGTGGATTCGGATCGTTGAGTAGCTCTGGTGCTGTCCACAGTTTACCTGGAAGAAAAAGAAGATAGATTTTGTTTGGTGAGTCGATGATAGAATGTTCTATACTTTTATAATAAGCATAATCTTTAACGTGATTTGGTGATATTTTGTTTGGATTTGAACGCAAAGTTGGTAAGCCAAAATCTGTCACCTTACAGACGAATCGACTATCGACCACACAATTAGAACTTTTCAGATTTCCGTGTGATTGAATATTGCTGTTATGTAAATGCTGCATGCCTTTCACAATATCGTGCATTATTGAATGTTTAAACAACGAATCAAGTTTAATCTCTTCATTTTCCAAAATATCCTGTAAACTTCCTTTAGGACAATATTCTGTAATGATATATTGATGTTTTGGATCTAAACAAATCCCAACGAAGCGTGCTATATGATCGTGTTGAATATCTTGCATTGCTTTCACTTCCAATTGTAAATGACGTGTTATTTCTAGTTTCACTTTATAAAAACGTTTTAAAGCAACGATTGAAGACTATAAAGAAAAGTAGAAATAAACATGAGAATGTCGGCTCGATTGTTGATTAACATAACAGACCTTATAAACGGCGGTTTTCGTGAAGAGTTGACGGGAGTGTCCACTACCAACATCACTACAGTCGGATGAACGATGACTTGATATTGAAGCACGCTAAAAAACAAATAGAATTAGTCAACTACAAAATCATGAAATTTAGATTAAAAACAGATAAAGCAAGTGCATTCAGTTAAATTATCATCCTTCAAGAAATAAATGTGCATATAAATCGTCGTGCAAACATTTACAACATGAACATTAAAAAAGATAATTACAACAACAATAATCCCGAAAGAGTATAGACTTCCACAGATATCTCATGTTTAATAAATTTTTTGTATTTAGAAACATAAACAACACTATAGCTCATAAATAATCATCAATTTAGTTCTTTTCGATAAGATTAGAATGAGCAAAGTTTAAAATGTGATTTATCCTTTATAGCAATAGAGTATGCTAGATTCCAGCAAATGCCCATTAAACCACAGCAATGCTCACATTTCGTACTCACTGACTTTGTCAGATCCTAGTTGAATTACAAAAAAAAGAAAACTACATATATTTGTTTAGAGCACGATTGTTACAATACACATTTTTAAGAAGAATTGAATGAAACTCATACTATTATTAGACATTTCTATCTTAAGTACCTTTTGTGATGTTGATAATTTATTGAAGGAAGGTGTAACACCATTTAAGACAATTCTGCTACTTAATTCTTCCCACTTAAGTAACCATTGCATTGCTTTTAATTCAGCTTCAAATTTTGCTCGTCTAGATAGAGACAGATCATTATTATACATAGACTTATTCAAACATTATAATTTAATTTACCTGTACAAAATGATACCAACTAGTAGTAGTAAAACAATAATTGATGATAAACTAACAATTACCCATCCCCAAATCGGTAAATCTACAGGAAATAATTATGTTTTAAGTAATACATACATATATGAATAGAACTTACTTTTTTTTGGACATTTGATATTGTTAAAACCACATCGTGGAGTATGAGGAATAGCTGTCGTATTTTTATCAATAAAATAGATTGTTCGACTTTCATTTATCCATTGTAAATTTTTATTCTCAGTTGAAAATGGTTCAGCAGGATATGCAACCACCGACTATATAAAGAAGTATAATATTAATGTTTAATATTCGACTTCTAAAATAAGAAGGCAATTACTCAACCTCAAATTCTCCCGTATCAGGATCCATATCGTAGACAGCATAACCAATATCAATTCGATCGCATAATGCATTTATTGTTATATTTTTATTTACACCTTCAATTGTTCGATTACAAATATGTGCTTTAAAAGCAATGGCATCAAGTGGTACATAATATTCTGCGTTATTCTCCGTTAGATTTGAACTGGAATAATGTGATTTTAATGCTTTGAAATAAGTGACAACAGCATCATAAAAATTTGTCTCATCAGTGCCAATCTAAAATAAATAGAATTGTTGAAAATTGTAAGACTCTTTAGTTTGTACAAGAACAAATTTAAATTTTCAGAAAAAAAAGGAGGCAAAAGATCTGTGACAATATCAGAGAAGAAGAAGAAGAAGCTTATATGTGCAAACAAATTTAAAAAAACATGGTGTGCAGCAAAGAAAAAGCAAAAAAATGAGAGGAAAATAGGAAGTTTTCTCTAAAAAAAACGTCCAGATTCTAAGTTCCTTTTGAAAAAGTGCAAAATTTATATGATTTTTTTCTAGAAAATGTACTGATAAGTGTTTTTCACAGTACGACCAATAAAAAAACATTAATTTTTGTTCGAAACAGATATCTATTAAATGTTATTATCTATACCATAATCTGACGTCATAAGCAATTTCTTTTGGCTCTTTTTTATATAATATAATAGCAAGGATCTTTGATGAAGATCGTATCGTTAAAGAAAATATTCTTCTTTTTCGAATTTTCTTGTTTTAAAGTTGTTTTAGTTAGCATATAAAAAACCTCAAATATATACGTGTGTGAAAAAGATCACAACAATTTATAGTCAAAAAGAGAAAAGGCTCAAATTCATGCAAGAGGTTTAGAAAAAGAATTTATCACATGCAAGCAGAAGAAGAAGTTCAATTTAGCTGCTGTCAAACAAAAATAAAGGTAAAAACTGTTGCAAATCAAACCTACTCACTCTTATTGAGGGATTCTGAAATATATACGTATTGACAAATGAGTATAAGATACCCAACTATCTCATTTGAAAATTAATATAGTTGATGAACATGTAAAAAATATACAATGTCCATGTTGTTATGACTTACTGTTTCATGTATTAAATATTTTGATTTATTATTTTCTTTGGCATATGCATACACCTCCTGGGCAAATTGTCTAAATCGATCACTTGTATAGAGTCTCTGTCGAAGAAATAAAACAGCTTCAAATGCTCTTTTAGCATTCTGATTAATTTCATCATCAGTCTCATTTGGATCAAACCACGGTTGTCGAACAGCTAAACTTTTTTCATCCGTACTAAAATAATGAATAACATTAATAATTACTTACTATTTGAATTCTTTTTTTATTTCTTCTTCTAATTAACTCACTTTTCTTGAGTTAATACGGTATCAAGATAGATGAACACGTATTCACCATTAATAAAACCAAATTGTTGTGCAGTTAAAATTGCTGAACGGAATGTTTTTGGACTTACACACCACATGGAAACTAAAAAAAGAATAGAAGAAAGAATAATAGATGCATTTATCCTTTTCATTTGGATGCATTTTTTTTGCAAGTTTTCCTATATTCACAATTGAAAAAATAGAAAAGATCTGTTGATTACTATATGTTTTATACAACTTAAGGCAATTCGTTGTTTAGAGAAGAAAATGTTATAAATAATAAATACTTATTTTCTCGTACCAGAAGCATTATTACTAATAAAATCGACAAAAATCGATGTATAATTATCCTGTGCATCATGACTAGTTATTTTTCTGTTATCACTACGTATTTGATTTGTGGCAAATGCATGTGAAATTGGTCTTAATAATACTTGACATTCATGCCATGGTTTTGGATTATCTTCATATAAAAATTTAATAAACGACCATTTATAATATTGTAATAATTTTAACATTAATAAACCTAATTCATCTGTTCTATAACCAAAACGAAATATTGAACTGTACATTGAATGACGATGAATTGTAAACTCGTTTGATACAGCACCCATTGTCACTAGAGGAATATTTCGATAATGTAGTAGACGAGCAACAGGTGCAACAGCTAAATCTAGACAAAAAAAAAATACAAAAAAAATATGAAATAAATTATCAAAAAAGTTAAAAAATAATTTTATTCTACAATAATAAATTTTAGTAATAAACTTAGAATGAATTTTGTTTAACATACCACAAAATGGTCCAAAAACAACATCGGGAATAGTTTTTAACATTATTTGTACAAGATTATGAGGTGCTAATGAAATTGAACAATTTGAATCTAAATAATGAATATTAACATTTAACCATGTTGATATATTATAACGTTGAACAATATATTCATAGACAATTAATAACGATTGTAAATTTGGTATAAAACGATCAATATCAGGAAACATCATTAAAATTGATACATTCGGTTTTTTATTGTGCAATAATGACGATTTTTTATGTCGAAAATATTCTCCTGTAAGACGATATGGATATTTTAATGGAAAATTTTGATTTTTTTTATATAAATAAAGTAAATTTCGTTCTGTTGATAATGAATTAGTTGTATTGATAAATCTGTTTTTTATTAGATAGTCTTTTGATATGATACCGGTGGATGTTATTGATGAAATATTTGGTTGTTGTTGGGCTAATATCATCAGGTGGCCATTTTTCATAAGTAAAATGCTTATAATTGCGAAAATTACCGTCATCCGATGGAAACATGAGGTAGCAATTGAATCCTTTAAAATAAAATAAAATAAAATAAATTGCTGATACTCACATACACCTTAAATATGATATTTTCTAATTAACTTTTGTTTTATTCTCAATCTATACGTATGAGAATAGGATGATGGATCAGTAGAAAAGGATATCGAATTTTAATAGTTTACTTCTCTCTAAATTTTTTAAAAAAAGAATTAGAATTCAGACATCGACTTAGTTTACCGTTTTTTAATGACACTCTCAAATATTCTTACTACTTTTCTGTGTATTCAGCTTCGAATTACAATCGCTGCCGTTTAAGATTATTATTGTAGTCTTTCGTTTATTGTACATTTAAACCTTTCATTTTCAATGCAGACTTATTTTTTTAACATCTAATTGAACATTTTTCGTGTTTCTCTCTTTCTCTCTCTTTTTTTCTCAGTTCCGACCAGCACACACACACACACACACACACATACAGATACAATTAGTTTCTACAGAGATGAAACCTTTAATATGTGCAAGTGTTCAAAATAACATTTTTTTTTTCTTTTTAACTTTTCACGTTTGAAAGCGTTTTTATGTTAATTATCATTTTTTTTTTTTTTGTTCAGGATTCCTCTGTCAATATAAATAATTACGTATGGAATATATGTTCTTAAGAAAACAACCAAACTAAGGTCATAAATTAAGAGACTTCATTGATTTGTTTATTTTACTATATACGGATATAAGATGTTAGTAATATAGTGGTAGAAAGAAAAACAAATTAAATATTTTATTCTGAACGGCAAATAAGAGAAAACATAGTAGCATGATTGAATCAGGATGTTCAAAACTTAACTTATAAAAGTTTCCGCTCGATTTCCTTTTGTGTTTATTGATCTACATGCAATGAGATTTTTCTTATGACACTTACTATTCAAATCAAATGTTTCAAGTGATATATAAGATTTATAATTTCTTAAACATTTTTGTTACAAATATTTAATCTCTCATCTAAATTGTTATTGATTTATTAAAATTCATAACAACATCGACGGCGACAACAACAGTTATATATCTCATAGTATCTAAAAAAAAAAATTACAAAAATGGCAAAAATGTAGTAATATAGATGAATTAGGTGATAATATGTTAGTGAGAATATATTATGACAGATAGCAGAGACATAATGAGAGACAATAATAACGAAATAATAATTTAACATCTAAGAGTTATAATAACCTAAATTATTATAGAAAAATAGTACTGCAGTATGAGATAGGCATGTAGACTATAAATAAAATTAATTTTTTGTATATGTAGTATCTTTTGTGACATTGGATCGTCAGAGTTTAGAAAGTAAAATTTCGAATAAGAGAACTTTTCTGATGATTAAAAGATGAGAGAAAAAAGTAGAAAGAGTTATTCTTGATTAAGAATTAAATATCGTTTATATTATAGGACGAAATACTAATTTAAATAAATTCTTACCTCTAAATGTTGTTATCTAATAAATAATTGTACTATCTGTTGAAAAATAAAAATATAAACTGAATAATCTAAAACTATTTTTGGGGTTAAATATTATTTTTATATATATCTTTTCTTTTTTGCTCTCGCTGTATTTCTCGTTTTCCATTCTTTTTTTCAATAATGATCACTATCGTTTAATCTGTGGCCTATATATAACACGTAGTTGATCTGTATAGTCACTGTACATGTTTATCTTATTCTCGTCTAATGTTTCACATTTCTTTTTTGTCACTAAAAAATGGGAAGGGTGCGATAATTATACGTATTTCATCATTTTTCCTTTGTGTATAAACAGACTATATATTTGAGCTTTTCTTGTTTTCTCACAATTATCTGTCGATGATCGAAAAAGACAGAGAGAGAAAAAACATTCCTCGCTATATTTACTAGACTGAAAAAGGATATAAACACACACACACACACACACACAGATAAAGATTAAGGAGTTTTCAAAAAGAATTTTTAATTTTACCAACTGGACATGTAAATGTGTCTATTAGAGCAACTCAAATAATACACTTTCTCAATAAATGATATATTATTATGCCATAGAAATGATTTTCTGTATCAACTATGGACTCATTTCTCTTACAGTCCTGAAATAGTGTCTTTTATTTATAGTTTTTTGCATGGTTATTTCAAAATAAGATGCATTCAATTAGTTGAACGTATTTTGTAGTTGTGATACCACAAGTTTTACTTTAAAATATTTTATTATCTTTCATTCGCCTTTTCTGACTCGAGTATATGATTTTTATTTATGAATACTTCACCTGATTTTAGTCTTTATTTTTTTATGTATCAGTTTTAGTTGGAATGATAGTAGTTTTAATCTCAGAACAGAATTTTCTTTTAATTTTTTTTTCAATTGTATATCTTGTTGTACTCTATCCTATTATCAAAATGAGAACTTTGTTTATTGCACTGGTCTCTTAATTAAAAGTTAATGGAGACGATGATGATTATTATTATCTTTCTATTCAATCATAATAGATGTAATGATTTTGTTCGTTGAAAAGAAAGAATGAGAAAACATGCAATACAGGAAAAACATTTAGAGATCTATATTGGTACACAAAGGAAGTTTCTGAGTATGTACCAAATTCATGACGTTTCTAATAAATAAGATAAGAAAGAAAAAGAGAATAGATATAAGAAAATTTCTATATTGAACACCGAACAAGACACAAGAAAAATGTTCTAAACTCAATGAAAGAAATCTCGTGTCAATTAAAACCGGTGTTGTTAATTCATATCAAATTATGCTGACTTCAGTATCTCTCTACTTGAGAATAATACAAAAAAAAAAAAAAAAAACAACAACTAGAAAAATGATATTGAATTCATTTTTCTTACAAGAAATGTAATCCACTTTATTGTGTTCTAATATATATGCTTATTTTCATTCAAACAGACTGGAAAAAAATCACTGTTTCTTTTGATACTTCATCTACATTTGTGACTATCTAGGACAGAAAAGATCAATAAGAACTGTCGATTCATATTTCTAATTATTAAAACTTCGAGTAGTTGAAAGAATATAAACTTTCTGAATTCTTAACATTTTCAAAGGCTTGAATAAATGAAATATCTTACCCTATTACAATAAAAAAGAAAATATTCATTCGTCGAAGAAGTAGAACGCTAATAACGTCGATTAAAACGAGAACAATTAGACATCTCGGATTTTGGTTGTATTAAAGCCT